AATATCTAGCAAACCTTTTTAGCAAGAGGGCCACATGTGATCTTGGATGAAGGTTGAGAGCTCTGTACAATCCAAGCAATTTCCTTTCATTGGAGATGCTGCTGACTGAAAGACTATGTCTCTATTGGATGGCAATTCAGATGAAAGTAAGAACAACCCACAAAAAAATAAATCTCTCCAGTAACTTGAGATGACTCAGTTTTCAAAATGTATTGATTTATTATGTTGTAATGTAAAGAAGTACAGAGATGAGCCCATACTTTGCATTTCTAAGATCTCAAAAACATGAAAATAATCTTAGAGAGCAAGTCCTGGGAGATTGTGATTTTGATAGGAAGCATTAAACCAGGTTTGCTGCAATACAAGGCAGTTTCCTATTTCCAGTGTCTTCCTGACCAACAATCCATATTCCTTATTTCAGGTAGAAATTTTAATGCAGATGGAGACCTGGTAGACTGGTGGAGTCAAGAATCTGCAAACAATTTTAAGAAACAATCTGAGTGTGTGGTATATCAATATGGAAACTTCTCGTGGGATCTGGCTGGTGGACAACATGTATGTCCTATGTTTCCTACTGACTTGTTCATTTATATTTGTATATGCTTCCTTGTATTTCATTATGCCCCCCCCCCCGCCATAAAAGCCAAAATAAGTGTTTTGAATGCAAATTTCTTGCTTCTTGGCAGGGGTTGGACTGGATGTCCCATGAGGTCTCTTCCAACTCAATGATTTTATGATTCTATAATGTCATGTCCAAATAGGAGCAAACTTTATGCCTAATATCATAGACATAATACTTAAAATGGAAAGAAACAAAAAGATCAACAACTCATCAGCAAGTAATGGAATTTAAGCTAAGCTTGATTTCTGATACAGTTTGTTTGTTTGCCTGAAACCTCTCTCCTCAAATGAGCTCTGTCACTAGCACATAGAGGGTTAGCATATTGCTTATGGCAGTATTTAATTGAAGTGTTCACCTTGAGATTAGAATTCCTTCTCTGTGGTTGCACAGCAAATTATGTCATTATTTATGTTTCTGTCAATAGAACTCGCTCAAGAAGAGCAGTGTTTATTTCCACTGTTAAAAAAAGCTAGGTCTTAATCTTATTACTGCACCCATCCATCCACTACCACTGAATCAAATACATTTGTTGCGTTTGTAACGCCACTCTGAGTCCCCTTCGGGATTGAGAAGGGTGGGGTATAAATACTGTAAATAAATAAAATAATAATAAATTTGTGCAATGATATAATGGGTTTATGTACATGAAATTTAGCCCCAGCTCATTGTAAGATTGCTTGCTGCTTTTGTTTTATTAAAATGCTAGTTGCTATGAATGATGTATACAGTTATGTGGAAGGGAAATATATAGTGCAGGAACCTAAGGCTGTAGGTGCAATTAATGCATAACATTCCACACTAAACTTCCAAGTTTATCATAACCATTTCTTGGCAACCGTTTGGCATTTTTGCCCCCTGCTAAGTCTAGTTGTGATTTTCTTCCACTCTGAAAGTAGTTACAGAGTATTCATTCCTGTCCCTTCCATGGCTAGATTGTCTCAGTTCTCCATTTTGACCTTTGAGCCATGTTTTGTTCTTCTTCCTGCAACCAATGATATCATTCTTCAGAAAAATCAACAATATTTATATTTCTTCCATTTTTCTTTCCAGCTCAGTGGAGTCAATACCCTTGGGGAAAACATCGCTGATAATGGTGGCATTAGACAAGCATACAGGGTGAGAAATGCTTTTGTCTTCACAGCTGAGAAGATTATTTGTTAGAAAAGATTAAATAAAAAGCAGGTTCAACAAAAAGAAAATATAGGTGGCATATATTAGTGCTGCTTTTTCAGAGTGGTCTAACTAAACCCCAAAGTTTTGGGCACTGAGAAACTCAAATTCCTCCTGCTACATTTCATTAAAAGGATACATGAAGGGGGTCACAGCCAAAAATGTGAAAATCTTGATTGTATTTTTCTCTCTCAATATCATCTGTATTTTACCATACTTTTCCTACCAAGTTACAAAACCTTTCTTCTTGAATTGAAACTGTTCTTCCTGATTTCTGCATTTAACCTATTGCATGTATTTTACCCCTCTTTTCTAAATCATGTTGATGCATTCTTTTTCACTTGTGCTCACATTAAGCTTCTTGCATTGTTTTATGAGTACTTTATTTTTGAAAAAATGGAAGGTCCCCAACAAATTTGTGATTTCTCAAGATAAGGGGTATTTCTTCTACCAGTATGTCTAGAAAAAAAATCATCAATACCTAATTATTATTTTTTATCCCTCTACTTGTCCTGCTTATTAAGTCTGTGGTAGCCACATTCTCAACCGTATAGGCATTTGGCAATTTGGGAAAAGTGTGGTACATGTATATGTGCATTAGGAAGCAACAGAACTTCATTTCTCCCTGGTGGTAAGCAAGGGTTGTGGCAGCATAGTGTTGGGGAAACAAACAGCATGGGAAAAATAAGATATAATTTAGATGTAATTTTGTTGAACTATTAACTGAAGTTTTTTCACATGTGGTCATGGAAAAAAATGGTCACTGCCTTATATTTTCTTTATCTTAATTTTTAAAAGTTCAGAACACACAGTCAAATTAACTGAATGTTCAGGACAAAGTACATTCCAATAAGGATCGTCCAGTTTTTGCTTGTCTATGGAGACATTACAACTCTCTTATCTTTCACTTACAATAGTCAAGGATATTCCCACAAGTGTAACCAAAACAAACTGAAAAGAACTATAGCAGTACAAGATCCACACAAGATGCTCTCATTTCTTGTGCCTGGTTGTGTTTTTTATACTAGAGTACATTTTTAATAATGGGTCCCAGTGCATTCTGAGCTATATAAGCTCTTTCAAAGGGGAACACAGACTTCTTTTTACATTTAATATTAAATTCTCTTGGAGAAATTATCTGTGACCCTACATCATGCTGGTAAACACAAGTCTATACCAGTGTACTTATGGGAGCAGGGCTAGAATGCAACAACATTTAGGAGGCTACTGGCCGCATCTCCAATTCCCTGGTCCCTGATTAGCTCTGGGGTGAACTCAGGCTCCTTCTTACTGCTACTGACCATTTAAGGAAGAATAAGCAGCATAGGGCTCCTCCTTCTTCCCTTGGTGCTGAAGTGCAGGCAGAATGGGCCAAGCTGCAATCCTATAGCCAAGCCCCTTATTGTTATAGCTTGCCAGGGTAAGGACTTTGCCAATGAAGGTACTGAAACTCAATGCATGGTCTCGAGATGTTCATATTTGGGGGTAAACCCAGATTGTAGCCATGTGTGTCACCAACAGGATTCCGGCCGTATTTCCAATTCATAACCTATAATGCTAAATGACACAATTCTGCCTTCATACTCATTTTGTGATCCTTGGTTGACTGGCATTATGGATTGGATGCTGAAGAAAGCATTAGTCTTGAAGAGCTATGACAACATATGGAAAAAAATCGCAAAGATACAAATCTGCAAGAGTGTGGTTGTTATTTTTGCAGGGATTCACACCCCCATCAACGCTCTACCTTTCATTCCCATACCTTTTGTGTGGAAGATTGTACCACTCAGAAACGAAGCACCTTAGAAACCATAGCAAACAAGAAGACATTTTATTCATGTTTGCTTCAAATATTAGGACAGCATAAATAAAGCAAAGCAGGAAATGGTCGAGAATAGAATCTAAACATTTCCTCCCATTCATCAAATCAAGATTTGCTCTGTTTTTTTTCTTACAAAAAGGAAACAAAACCATGTTTTATTCTATATTGATTTGATAATGGTACTGATTACTACCATATTTTTCACATGTTTTGATAACTGATGGGTAGGTAGGTCAACAGTCTATACTCTCACGATGTAACTCTTAGGGTCAGAGTAAGTTCTGTTGAACTCAATGCGATTTCCTCCAAAATAACCATTTATATAGCATTTATATAGCATTGCATCATTTGGAAAAGACTATATATTTCCTTCTGTATTCTCTTTGCATTTGCTCCTGCCCTTTTGTAGGCTTATGAGAATTTTGCCAAAAAGAATGGGAACGAGAAACGCCTTCCTGGGCTTGACTTCGACCATAAGCAGCTGTTCTTCCTGAACTTTGCACAGGTATTATACTTGCTTTGATTGAAAGCTTTGAAAATTATTTTGAGTTGCAATTTCACACCTAAGTTGGAAACAGCAGGCTGGATTTTCTCCTTTTAATGTGAACTGGCAGAATTGCCAAGTCGAACAGCCTTCATGGCAGCAGGGCCAAGAGGAGAGTGGGCTGTCAGATTACATTAATCATAGCTAAGTGCATAAATGCATTCATAAGGTGAGTTTGGAGAGGCCCGTTGCGTGTGGTCACAGCCACATTCATAAATACTTAGTAATGGGCAGGAGTTTAGGTGAGTTCACTGTCACCGTTTTAAATCTTCTCTCATAACCTCAAATAGACTGTTGCAAAATAAAACATAATTACTGTGATACAAACCTTTCCCCCTCAATATTTTACTGTTGCTTTTAAAGATATGGTGTGGAACATACAGACCGGAATATGCTGTCAACTCTATTAAAACAGATTCCCACAGCCCTGGCAAGTTCAGGTCAGTGTTTCAAAGTTCCATTTCTTTATTTGCACAAAACTGGTCTCTTAGCATCCATATGTTTGTATTTCCAAAATAAATATGTTTTTGAAATGGCACAATGTGATTTGCCATTTTGTTGTTGTTTTATGAAACAATTATATGTAGCTCTTCATTTTTGGTCATATCAGAAGATCTAGGCTAAAACTTGGAAATATTACCTCTTTTGGATAACAACTCTCAGTGCTCCCATGCTGACATAGTCACTTCTTAGCATCCATGACCTTCCCAATATTTTAGTTGGTGAAGATGAGGCTGGGGACTTATGGAGAACTGGAATAGGGCATATGAGAAGAGCCCACATGGCCCCTTTGTTTGGTCCAGCAGATCTTAGAGGGAGCTGAAAACTGTGAGAACAAAGCTAATACTATGGCTCGAGGCATAGCTCAAGGCTTGTATTTTGGAAGATATCACTTGATATTCAATTATAAGAGTTATGATGATGAATGTTTGCACAACAAAATTCATCAACACACCACTGGGAAGGCTTGTCATACCCATGTTCTTTTCCTACACACAATATTTGTTGGTGCCATTAAGCAAGTTGAGGAAGATCAACGTTGGGGGAAAAAAAATGATCTAATACTGGTAAAGCTGGCTGGGAGATCCTTGGAGTTATAATCTTAAAAAGTAATATTTTGAAGTTCCCTGCTATTTTTACATGCATAGAGACCCTGATGTAATTATAATATTTGTGTAGCCCTTTCAGGTATTCCGCAAAATGGTCTTTGCAACACATGCATTGAAACGCTAATGGAAAGTTTTTTGCAGTTGTGTTGCTTACCAAGATCTATACAAAAATCTAGCATGTTTGCAATAACATACCAAGGAGGTGTGCATGTGACGAGTGTTTGTAGTACGTATATTGAATGCATTTGGAAGACAGTTTGTAAAGTTGTCTGTAGTCAGTTATGAATTTCGGAGATTATTCAGTTACATAATCTTTTTGAAATACAGTAGGTTTTTTTAATTCAATCAAAATAGAATAATAATGGAAAACATTAAAACATTGCAATGTGTTTCTAACACCGTGGCCCAGTGGCTGCTTGGACAAATTTTATTTCATATCCATTTTGAAAGAGATTGTTTTATGCTCAAACCCAGGTTTTAGATAGCCATTTGTTTTATTTGTACTCAAAGCAGCCACTGTCCCTGGCTCTGGCATCACAATGGCATTTTCATGTGGGTGTTTTCTTGAATGTTTTTCCAGGAAATCTGTAGCTTTCTTCCTGAGACAATTATGTTCAAACTCCTGCGCAAAGCTTAATTTCAGCTACAGTGTTTGCTTTGATCAGTTGCAGTTCCCAGGACCTTTGCCTAATGGGTACTTTTGTCAATCACATTGGTTTTTTTCATTCCTCACATTCATTCCTGGCATTTGACATAATTTTGTGTTCCATAACAAAACCTATGTTTAATTCCTGACAAGGCGTCTATGGTATATGTCACATGCCCACTCAAGAGAACTCATTGGTTGATAGGATTTTGCTATGTCTAATGGTTTTTAACTTTGAATATGTTTTAATTGATTTTAACTGTGAATTTTTAACGCTTTTTATATTAATTCTGTTTTAATGTTTGCATATTTGTATATTGTAAATTGTATGCTATTGCTTTTATGTTAAGCTGCTTTGACTCTCCTTTGGGAGAGATAAAGCACGGTATATAGATGGTGATGGTGATGATGATGATGATGATGATGATGATGATGAATTGTAACAGGGCATTATTGATTACTTGCAAGGAGGGCAACATTCAGTCATGCCCTTCCCATCATTGGTTAGAAGAAAAGGGGGACAACATGCATAAATTTGTTGGAGGTAGTGGTAACAAGTGAAGTAACAAGGGAACCTTGGGTAAGTCACAGTCTCTCTACCTCAGAGGAAGGTGATACTAAACTCTCTCCAAAGAAATCTTGCTAAGGAAACCCCATGATAAATTTTCTTTAGGATAAGTTGAAAACAACTTGAAGGCACACAACAACACTAACAAATATATTAACTAAGGGCCTCATTGCATTAGGGGACGTTAGCGTCCTAGGATGCTTGGAGGATGCTGGGAGGACAGCGCCTGCCGGATGCCATCAAGTGATGCACAGCTACATCTGGAGGGATTCTGTCGTTTCAGCATCTGCCAAGTGCCCTAGGACACTTCTCAGAGAACACAAGGGTTCCCGTGTTCTTATAGAGGAAAATGGGGCTAGTGCAGAGAGAAGCCGAGCAGCGATGCCTCCCTCCATGGGATAGATAAGTGAACAATGCAGGTGATGTAGGGTTCCCCCACTGCCTGCCAGATTTGCCATGATCCATCCTGAATCTCCCTGTGATTGCCCGTAAATTGGACCTCATTGTAATGAGGTTCTTAATGGCTGAAATCCTATTGATAACATATACAGGAATAAGTTGTGCTACACATGCAGAATACAGTAATATTTTTGGACAATGCAGAATACATGTATGTGGCTGATGATGTCAGGAACATGAATTCCACATGTGGAACCATTGTGATTTACAATAATACAGTTAACATAGTGCGTGAATGTGCATTTCACATTGCGCAAAGAAGTAACAGCTGTGCACCTGCATTTTTTCTCCCAAGCCTTCACATTTCTACTTGTGACAGTGTTGGATGTCTCTTTGTTCAAGGTCCCAAAAAAGTACTTATAATAGTTTAATTTCAAGTTACAACAGTGTAAACTGCTAGGAGCACTCCAGATTCAGAATGTTGTCATAGTAAATATAAGGCACTTGTGGATGCATTACCACCTAGCTCCTTATTGATTCCCACCCCAATCACTAAATTCCTGTTTACCAGACAACAGTCACTGCAATTGACAGGAGTCCATACCCCTGTCACTCTTGAAGCAGTTGACTGATGTTGTCATCACCTCCTCGGAGCAGTCTCCATTGCAACAAAGAGAAGCCAGGGCCCTGCCATAATTCCTCCTTGCACCAGAAATCACTCACAAAAGGACAAATAAAGAATTCAGTCTGTTATTTTTTCATCAGTAGAGAAACACACAAACACACATGTTGATTGCATTAGCTCCTGCTTGCTAAGTAGGGATTGAGGCATGTTTTCAGTCCCCTAAATTAAGTGAATACAGGAGGGATTATTAACACCAAACAGTTATGAATATGTAACAACTCTAAATGATATAGTTATAACTGCCCAGTAGAATTCCAGTCAATTGCAGAAGGTAAATCTGTTTGGAAAGCCCTAGCCTTTTAGAACTGTAGGTAAGAGAAGATTGACCTTGTGCTTTGTTAAATGCTTATTTATAATGTGGAATCAGTGGTGCTAAAGTGTTATTTTGTTCTGTTTTAAAGGGTTCTGGGAACATTACAAAACACGGCAGAGTTTTCTGAGGCCTTCAAATGTGCCAACACGCAATACATGGATCCTGCAAAAAAGTGCCGAGTTTGGTGACAGGGTTACCAAGAAAAAAGAAATTTCCAGAAATCTGGGGTGGTTTGAACCTGCCAGGAGAGGATTTGCTGCAAAAGGAACAATAACAGAAACTGATCAAATGCACTAAAGCAATGCAGTCTCCAAAAAGAAAGAGAAAAGAAAGAAAGAGAAAAAAGAACTAAATACCTTGCTAAGGCAGTCACTGCCAACCATTACCTGGACTCAACTTGGGAAACGCTAAAAGGCTGCATATCTAAAGTCTCTTCATTTTTTAAAATGAAACAATTTATTTCTGATTTTCACTCAGTTTGCTGATTTTGTTTAATATTTGAACCAGTTCACCCAGACATTAGCTTGAACACATATTGAACCATTGGAAGTGTGCTTAGACTTAACAATCTGCTGTCCTATAAATGTATTCTGTTATTTATAGTCAGATGGTAGAGAGGGGTTTCAAATAACACAGTAGCTGGGATGTGAAATATTATGATGAGTTAAGGAGTAGATGGGGTTCTTTAATATCTCCCATTTATGGCTCCCAAGCTTTTCCAAATCCTTGTTTTTCAGAGGCGGACTAAAGAAAAAGAGAAATTTAGGGACCCTAAGACAAGACTGATCAAGCTTAACCAACTTAGAAACCTATTTGCATCCAGACATTTTCATACTATAACACCAATGACATTAGCTGCAATTGGAAATAGCTAGTCCTGAGTAAAAACTGGTGGCTCCACATGCCATGACCATCTCTGTTCTCAATAGAAGATGTCAAGATCAGTAGTGCATGATGGAGTAGTGCAATACTGATGGAGGTGTGCAACCAGATATAATTCAGTTTTTTGCAGGACTTGGGGTATGTATAATTGGCTCTGCCCAGTTCTGGCTGAATGATAGCCACCCAACAGGCCCTGATTTCCCCCCACTTCTGCAGCTTTTTATCTTAAAGGGGAACAGCTTCACAGGACAGGCTTTCTTCCCTCTGCCTCCATGAAATATTGCATATGGGAGTCTAGTCTGTGCAAACACCTACCGCACTGTCCTGTGCACTGTCTCTTAAGGCTTTCCCTGTTCCATTTTTATTTGAAGCCATTTTTTTAAAGAACAATCCAAAGACAAATTGTAACCTACTTAAGAGATTAATGATTGACCAAAATTATTATGTGCTGCTTTCCTGTCAAAATGATACTGTAGATAATTTATTACTGTTTTTAGCATATATTGTATTCAGTCCAGATGTAATCAAAAATTCCTCCATGTTTTTTTTCTAGGATTATCCTGCTTTATTTCAAATCTTGTGCTTTTTTTTAAAGGAAAAATTTGTAATAATATATAAGATTATAAGATCATACTTTTTTATATTTAATTCTGAGCTATACCAGACATGAACTGTTATATATTATTACAATTGGTATATACCATTGGTGTGTCAGGATCATTCTGAACACAGAAGTCTATCAATTGGAGGTACAGACGGGTGAAATGATTTTGAAATAAACTGTTAGAAGGCCAGTTCTACAACTACTAGGACCTACACACCTAATGTGAATGATGTTTATAATTCCTCTGAATCAGCAAGACCTTTTGCTTCAGTAATAATATTACTATTGTAGTGTTTGCATTTCTGGACTCTTAGTAGTATTAAGTCTTTTGAAATCTGCTATAATAATTTTAAGTGCTCTCCCACAGGTGGCCTAGGAACATAATGCTTCTGGTATTGAAGCACAGAGAAATTTCCAAATAATAAAATAAGTACCAGATACCTCGGATGACTTAGATGGGTCTATTTCTGTGCATTTAAAGAATCTATGTGCATTTTACTTTTCAAATTTGTCATTGGATGAAGCGTTTTATAATTAAATGGAATCCACATTTCTTATTGTCTACAGCTGTTGCAGTGTGTGTTTCCTAACAGGAGGGGCAACATGCATTCATTAGTATAGTGATTAAGTTGGATATTCACGGCTCTTGGAACATATAGTGACATTGCCACTACATGAGATTGTTCAGCATCTCTGCAGTTAAAGAGCCATCTCATCTGTTGCCATAAGATTTTGAAGCTGAAATTCTGTCTGTGATCATAAATCTTCATGTTTATGATTTGGAAATTACAGTAGTCTGCCTGTTTTCTCAGATTCAAGCCTTAGGACCACATCCCATTGAAGGAGGCAGAGTATTCATTCCATCAAATTCAGTTGTGTAAATTGTTTTGTGTTCAGATGGAATTAATACTCATGTTTCTGCACATCTTAGAATCATATAATCATAGAGTTGGTAGAGATTTCATGGACCATCTAGTCCAACCCCCTGCCAAGAAGCAGAAAAATCGCATTCAAAGCACTCCCGACAGATGGTTATCCAGGCTCTGCTTAAAGGCCTCCAAAGAAGGCGTCTCCACCACATCTTGAATTTATCAACATTCATTTGCCATCATCACTCATGTAATGTCTTGTCTGATTCTGATTTTGGCTTTTTTTCTGGAACATTGTGCAAGAACAAAAGATAAGACTAGAAAGAGCATTGAAAGGGAAGTTAGTTCCACCCATGATGCACACCCACCACACACATCATTGGGGAAATGGATGAAATGCATGCAAAACAGCGCAATCATGGTCCACTCAAAAGCACTGAAGACAATTCCTGCCCATCTTTCAAAACAGATAGGAAGCAGATGGATAGCCTACATCATCAAATGGAATACCTACAAAAGAAAAGAAACTTCATGGCATGGCAACCATTGGATACCATTGGAAACACTTCAGAAATGGCATTCTAAATCCATGGGATGAAGTCCTAAATCAATATTTTCTATTTAGATCTCTTGTTGTTTTTACCAGCCATACATTTCCATCAACACTTATTATGAAGTGTATCCATGGATCTGAAAAATCCTATTCCCCAAGAGCACTACCTTGTATATAGTGCACAATCATTCCTCTGCAAGTGCAACATCATTGCTCATAATGATATGGAAGCAATGGATATTGGCCACTTCTCACCTTCTTTTGCTAGTCCGGATAGTTGGAACAAGGGTGAGGGATGATGGGAAGAGCAGTTCATCAGCCTCTGTAGGGTCACAGGTTTTTTACCCCTGCCAAAGATTATTATAACACCAATTCTACTAAATAACAGAATTATTCTTTGGGGTGTGTTAGATAATTCCTCAGAGTTCACTTATGTACACTCAGGATTTTGTTTCAGTCTTGAAAATGTCTGATGAAGAACCATCTTTAATTAAGAGATTAGTGACCCTGCCAGAATCATTTAGAGTACAGGCAATTAAAGCAATCAGGAAACTTGGTTACATCTGTCGCTCTCCTTTTCCAAGCACTTCAAATGCAAACATATGCCATGAAATATGTAAATGTTATTGCTGCATATGATACCCCTTTATTTGCTCACTATGTTTTCACCTTCATGAATACCAAAGAGTGACATTCTTCTCCCTGACAAATTGTTTTTTTTTTATTTCTTAAAGCTTTTCTGACCTATGTAAATCCTTTGCAGGATTTTCTTAGCAGGATTTGTTCAAAAGAGAGTTCCCATTAGACTGAAAGAATATGAGTTTCATGGCCAAGGAAGAATTTAAGCTGGTGTCATAATCCAATACTCAAATGACTACATCACATTGGCTCCTACAACAAATAGCAAAACCTATATAATTTTCCTCAGTCATGGGGATGAACAGAATGGTTCATTCTTAAGAATTTGCTTCTGAGTGCTTTTGAATGTTTGGCTCACACCTTCTAAAATAGAAGAACAAGCGAAGTTCCTATCAGAGGAAACAAACCTTTGAGGGCAGACTGTAGAAGGAATATGCTCTTTACCTCATGACCTGGACATTTTGACAAACATGTTCATGCTGACCTTCAAACCCCAAGGTTGATAGCTGGAATGAGAAAACAAACTACTATATTTACTTGAGTTCTAGTGCACATCTTTTTTGGCTAAACCCCACAGCCAAAATGGGGGTGCGCATTAATATCAAGTATTACGGTAATGTACCATAAGTGCCAAGGTAAAGTAAAAAATAAAGTTGCTCCAGAGGGAGAGGGAGGAGGAGAGGCAAAAGCTGTTGCTCAAGAGGGCCCCACAAAGTGATTTTTTCCAACTCCTTCCCCTGAAATATAACCTACCATTGAGAGTTTCCCTTTCAAACATGAACTAGCTCTAATCATTTCCAAGATCAGATGGGACTTTCTTGTCCCACTTTAAAACCTGCAGAGTTCTGTGGCTTGTAGTTCAGTGAGCCTAGGACTTCTTTTGCACCAAAATCCTGCAGTCACAAACTCTAAATCCTATTTTAGGGGTGATTACCTTTAGTCCCCATAATTCCTTCCAGTAAGTTGGGGAAATTTTCCATGAGATTTTCTTGTGGTTCTCTCTTGCAGCTCTAAGGAAATTTGAGTGACTAAAGTCTAGGACACCAGCATAGCCCTCCTAGGATGTATATACACTGCAGAATTTATGTATTTTGACACCACTTTTAATTGCCATGGCTTAGTACTATGCAATCCTGGGAGTTGTAGTTTGGTGAGACACCACCATTCTTTGGCAGAGAAGGTTGAAGACCTTGTAAAATATTGCCCCCATGATTTCATAGCATTGAACCATAGCAGTGAAAGTGGTGTCAGACTACATGAATTCCAATGCAGGTTCACACAAGGACTTTGGAATCGCATATACTGTAAACATGTACGCTGTCTGATAACGCAGAATACCATTATTCATTCTATGGAATCCTGGGATTTGTAGTTTGGAGAGACACCAGCCCTTTTTGACAGAAGGCAAAAGAGCTTACAGAACTACAACTCCCAAGATTCCATAGCATTGAGCCAGAACAGTTCAAGTGATGTCAAGCTGCAGTCATTATACAGCATAGATTCACCAAAGGAAGCGGAGGCAGGATAAACAGGAGAGGCTCCTTGGTTACCAATTTCTCTGGTTTTAATTTAAATTGCTGGAAGATTTGGTGCCTTATCACCTTGGTTTTTAAAAAAGCAGCTCTAAGCGGGAAGCAACTGCAATGCACATCTTGGTCAAATTTCAAGGAGTACACTTGCTGCTGAGCATTACATTTGGCAACAAATATGTCTCTTGTTTTCAGGGTTTTGGAAACTGAGGTGCACATTACATTCAAAGGTGCACTAGATTCGAGTAAATACGGTAATTTCTCCACACACTTCATGTACCCTATAGTCACAGAATCTTCTGCAACTATTCTGGTCTGAGGAAAAGTCATGAGAGAGTGCACAACCATTCTTGGAATTTGTTGTTGTATGCCTTCAAGTCATTTCTGACTCATAGCAACTCAAAGCTAAACCTATCACAAGTTTTTTTAGCACAATTTTCTCAAATGAGAATTGCCATTGCTTTCCACATTGAAATTTCATTTTTCCAAACTCTCCACATAATGCCATAAGATTTTCTGCAAACAATTATGTACTCACCTGCAAGACAATATATATACACATACAAACATAAATACCATTAAATGAATTAAAGACTAAAATTTTCCAACTCAGTGTTAATTTTATTGAGCTTTTATGATTTAAAGAAACATACTCTGGGACACACTGCAATACCTCAAGCTTCAGGAGACAGAAGCAAATACAGAAAAAGCAATCTCAGAATTTAAGTCCCGTTGTCAAGGAACTTAAACCTTGCACATGTTGTGTTGAATATTCAGACTCAGAATTTACTGGAAAAGGAGAGGCTTCAATAATGGCATTCATTTCAGTAAAATGCAATAAGTCACATCAAGATAAGTATTTATACTTTCATTTCCTGATTTTGTAAGTGACTTTACAGAAAGGTCACAGACAGCAACACAGAATGCTCACATATTGCATGGTGATAAGGTTACAAGGACATAAACTCACTGCTGGATCAGGAGAACAGGTAAGCCATGGTTTCTCCTATCCAGTTTCTTCCTTCCAAGACTGTTTTTGTTGTATCACTTCAAGTCCTTTCCGTCCTGTGCTGACCCAAAGGCAAACCTGTCACAGGTGTTCCTTGGCAAGATTTATACAGAGGGGTTTTTACCTTTTTCTCCCAGTGAGATGAAGAATATGACTTACTCAGGGTCACCCAGTGGGTTTCCATAGCTGAGCAGGGATTCAAACTCTGTTCTCCTGAGTCATAGTTCAACACTCAAACCACTACAAGAGAAGCAGATTCTGAGGCAGAAGCACAAACTTTGCATGCTTTCAACCCTATCAGAATGAGTAATGCTCAACAGTTGCCAAGTAATCTTGGCTCCTGGTCCAGAAAATTTCACAAGTACCTCTCCCAAGGAATGAAAATGCAATAATAAAACTTAAACTGCCACATCACTATGCCTAACAAAAGGATCACCCCTATTATTTATATACCTTGCTCAGCCTGTTGCATGGCACTATGCCTGCCCTCTTGACCATTACAATAAGCAAGAAAGGAGACTGGGTTAAAGGACCATTTATTCAACAAGCAAGATAATCTTAGTAACAGAAGACTCCAACGTTGGCTGATCTTGCAGTCAGAAAACAAGCAATGGAGATAGTAAATTGGCACAGCAGCAGGAACGTCACCCTACCACACAACATTGTTGCCAACCCACTACCTTCCCACAATGAATCCATCAGGGACTACTGACAGGCAAAACCCATCAATAGCCTTGGTCATACCATGGTCTTAGGTCTTACTTTTAAGGCATTTCATAACTGTAAAATAACTTAAAAATAAATATTTAAAAATTGGAGGATTGGCACAACCGAAGGGTGGAATTATGACACACACACACACCATGAATTGTGAAATGCCAGTTGCTGCGTGATGTTTCCCGTCACAGTGAGTTAAGTAGTACCTGTCCTATGTTGCAGAAATGTCATATGATAGTGGCTTGCAT